CTGCCCCCACCCCCCGGGGTGGCTCTGTCCCGGCTGTCCCTGTCCCCCCCGGGACGGCTCTGTCCCGGCTGTCCCTGTCCCCCCCGGGGCGGCGCTGACCCGGCCGTCCCCGTCCCCCAGGACCTGGAGCAGAGGCTGTGGGAGGCCGAGCGCCGGGAGCGAGCCCTGCACGGCCGCCTGGTCCGCCTGGAGGAGCAGAACCGGCAGCTCCTGGGGCAGCTCGCGGAGAGCCAGTCCCAGGAAGGTGGGTGTCCTGGCGGGTTCAGGGTCCCCCTGCCACCGTGGGGCGTTCCCAGGGGAGACAGCGGGCTGGGTACGGCACTGTCCTCTGTGCTGCCCGGCCCTGCAGACCGTCCCGCCAGGGAGCACGAGCTGTCCTGTTCTGCGGGCCACAGGGGCCCCAAATGCCCAGGGCACCCCCGGGGGGGGGGCAGACACAGGGTGCGGGCCGCTGTTGGAGCACAAGGATGCGTCGGGCACAGCCTAAAGCCCTCAGCTCCCCTCCTTCCACTGTTCCTACTCTGCCGTCTACCGGAGCAACGGTAGAGCGATGCCTTGCAGAAGCATCAAGAAACCCCGCAGCGCTGTGGGGTCGGGGGAGTCCTTGGGCCCTGGGGGCCGCTCACGCCTGTCTGCCCGCGTCTGGGCTCAGATAGCACGGCGCGGAAGGAGCGGGAGGTGATGCTGCGGCTGAAGGAGGTGGTGGACAAGCAGCGGGATGAGCTTCGTGCCCGGGCCCATGAGATCGTCTGCAAGAGCCGAGACACGGAGGCGGTGAGCGTGTGGGAGCTGGCGGGTGCGGTGCGCGAAGGGCCTGGGGACCTGCTTTCATGTCACCTCGCCCTGGGGCTGCGGTCGCGGCTGGCGAGCCTGCTGGGGCACATGCCTGTCCCATGGCGCTGATGTCCCCGGGTGGGGACCCGGAGCTGATGCTGTGCCTCACTCTCGCCTGCCCCGGGCCCTCCAGCTGCAGGAGCAACTGCATCGCTTCATGGCCATGAATGAGGACCTGCGTCACAAGGTGGCCGTGGTGCAGGCTCAGCTCAAGAGCGCGCTGGAGAAGAAGTCAGACCTGGAGGCCGCGATGCTGCGAACCCAGAGGGAAATGAGCAGGAGGAGCAGGACTGCCTCTGAGATCCAGCAGCCAAAGCCCAGCTCAGTGAGTCTGAGCCCGTGGCCCCACTGCTGCCGGGCATTGCTAATGATCCGACCTTCCCGGCCCTGCGTGGGCTCCTGGCACGCCCGGACCCGCCGGCTGCCAGCAGAACGCGGCCGCTCGAGTAAGCCCCGCCGCTGAGAATTGAACAGTGTGGTGTCTGCAATGCTGTAAAAATTGGTAGGGGCGGAGGCAGGAGCGAGCAAGGCGAGGTGATGGGAGGAAGAGGCGGGTGGGACTCGGAGGACGAGGAGGGTTTGCCACATGTGGCGATGGGCGGCGGGTGCTGGCTGAGCTGGGGAGCCACCGTGGTCCATGGCGGGCTGCGGCAGCTCCAGCCCAGCAAACTCATTCCTGAGACTTCTCCATCTCTGCCTGCACGTGGGGCTTCGGTGTCCCCGCTTGCCTGCTGACTCCCTTCTGTCCCTGCAGGAAGGAGCGCCGCCGCCCGTGGAGGAGCCGCAGCACCAGGACGCGGATGCGGGCAGGAGCCCTGCTCACTGCTGCTTTTCCAGGGAAGAGCTGCAGCAGATCCTGCAAGAGCGGAACGAGCTCAAGACCAACCTGTTCTTGGTGCAGGAGGAGCTGGCCTATTACCAGCGGTGAGCCCTGCCGCGGCAGCACGGGGCAGCGAGCCGGGTCCCTCCGGTCCCTGCAGCCACCCGTGGCCCATCGGAGGCTGCTCCAGGCACCGTCGGGGCGGATTTCTTTGCCAGGCTCTTGGTTAACCAGCTGGCTGCTTTTTGCCAGGGAGCTGCTGAACGAAGAGAGAGTTCCCAGCTTCTTCTTGGATGCAATGAAGTCGACTATCAAAAGACAGAGAAAAAAAATCAGAGCCAAAATGCTGGGAACGGCGGAGGAGTCGGCGAGCAGGTGAGTCCTGCTCAGCGGGAGGGAGGACGGGGAGCCTCCTGTGCAGGGTGGGTGCTCCGGGGTTCCCATGCGGTGTGACGCCCTGGGAGGGAGCTCCCCCAGGCCAAGAGCTGCCTCCTCCCTGCCTCCTTCCAAAGATCAAAGGTTTCTTGTCTGCAGTCCATGTCTTGCTCTGGTAGCCCTGGGAGCGCCGCAGGGGCTGGGCTCTTCTCTGCTGCCGCTCGCGTGTCCCTGTCACCAGTCACACATGGCCTGGTCAAACGCCACTCGTCCCTGCGTGGATGTGGCGAAGGGGAGGCGAGGTGGTGGCGCTGGGACCGCTGGACGAGGCAGGCTGGTCCCTGCGCTGTACGGTTGGAGGCTGTCCAGTGGCGAGCCTTTGAAGATGACAGTAGAGATGTTCCCCGGAGGCTCTGCAAGACGTTTGTGGGCAGCACTGGCTCCACCAGACTTCTCACGATGGGGCGGGGAGGACCCTGCCTGGCACCCGCCCCGGCTCTGCGTGTCTGCCGGCGGCGGGGGGCGAAGCCTGCGCTAAAGCCGCTGTACGGCGTGGGGGGAGCTGGATCTCACTGGCTTTTAGGGGCTTTAATAAAGGTCTGAAGGGGGCTGAGCTCTTCTGTGCTACTGAAACCTGCTGCTTGCTTGCGCTGGGGTCTCTGCTGGCAGCGGGGGGGCCGGGGGGTGTTGGGTCCTGCCTGGCGAGGGCAGCCGCTGCCTCGTGGTCACCTCTCGTGTGTCACCCCGCTCCCCTGCGAGGCCTGGCTGGCTGTTCCCCTGCAGCAACATGCGTTTGCTGTGCGGGGCGAGCTGCCTAAAGACTTCCCTGCTGTGGCAACCGGGGACACGCCATCCGCTGACCGGTGCCGGGGGTTTGAAGCTGGTGTCTGACGAGCCTTGTGGCTTGAGGTCACCGAGCCAGGGCTGGGCTTGCCGTGAAACACGGCGCTGTCTGGGACACGAACATCGCTACAGCTGGCTGCGGCTTTGGGGCAGGTCGCAGCCCAATGGTGATTCCCGGGGACGGCAGCTCCAGTCCGCGTGCCCCTGGCTCTGCAGGGCACCCTGCTCGGCTGGGGACAGAGCCCCGGGGTGGCTCTGGCACTCGTGGCAAGCCTGTGACTGAGCGCAGGTTTTTCCCCCACTCCTTTGTGCTGCAGTGATGAAGACGAGGGCTCCTGGCTCCCAGCTCGCGGTGCAGACTGCGTGGATGCTCAGCCTCCCGAATCCAAAATTAGGAGCTTGTAAGTTTGCTCCCATGCTGCGGTGCTGCTGGGGACGGGTGGCTTTGCAGGCAGAGAGGAGCTTTGGGGCTCGGCTGGGGACCCGGCGCCCGCTGAGCTTGGTGCCTGCCCTGCAGGGTACGGCGGGGACAGAGCCGGGCTGCCCGGCGTGGGGCTGGCGGGGATGCTGCTGCGGCGCGGGTCGCTTGGTTCGGGGGGGATCTGCCTTGCAGGCAGGCGAGGGCAGGCCTGGGTGCCCCTCGGGGGTGCTGCACGCTCCCGGGGGCTCGCAGCCGGGCTGCGTCCCACCGCTGCCACCAAAGGCAGAGGGAGGCTGGGATCTGGCCGCTTCCCTGGGAAGGCTCTGCTCCCCCACGGCCGTTATCTGCTCTCTCTGCAGTTTTGGGCTGTGGTATCAGGGCAGCAGCAAAGACCCCCCCACATCCAGCTGCTCTGGAGCCTGGGAAATCATCGACTCGCTGGACACGCAGCTGGAGCCCGAGGGAGAGAGCGAGCCGGCGGGCGGGCGGCATGGCAGCCCTGGCCGCTTCCCCACGCTGTGGTGATGGCGAAGCCGCAGCGTGGGCAGCCTCTCTGCAAACCTACCAGGATGCTCGGCCATGGGGTGCTGGCCTGGCATGGGACAGCTCGGCACCTCCGGGCATCGCTACCCGTTGACCACCCTTTCGTTGTGCCCATGGCTTAACTACAGGCGTCCTGCACAGCCGTGACCCCACTCCCCGCTCCTCCGTGCTGCTCAGCGTGGCGGGGGTCTGCACCCGCTGCTGCAGCCCAAAGGGCTCTTCCCCGCCGCTGCTGGCTCCTTCTGCCTCTGCTCACAGCCCAGGTTCCCCTTGCCGGATCCTGCCCTGCGGGGGTATCGCTTCACCCCTTTCCACTCATAGCTCCCCCCCGTCCCTGCAATGTGAAGGTCAAGCTGGGGTGCCCAGGCCGGGCGGCTGGGTGCTGACCCAGGGCCACCGCGCGGCTGGGAGGGTCTGGGAGCACTGCACCGGGTGTCCGGGTGCTCCCGTGTCTGGGCGCAGTCAGGATCAGCACCGCCAGTGCCACTCCTGCACTTTTCAGGCATGGGGTGAACCAGTTTTGTACTGATTTTTGTCCCTGCTACTGCTGGGAACTGGAAGACTGGAACAATCCTCGTGTTTGCAGGGCGAGTCGGTCCCCGCGGGTCCAATACTTTCTAGCTCTAGAACTGGCGTCAGAAATAAATGTTTCTTGTTTCTCCTCCGAGGTACCCACCGCAGCCTCCGCTCTCTCCTTGCTTGGGAAGGGCGCGGTGATGCTGCCAGGCTTCGGTCGCAGCTCTCCAGCGTAGCTGTGGCTTTTCACGCGCCGATGCAAAGGGCTGTGGCTGGCTGTGCCGCGCCAGACCCCAGACCCCCTTTTGGGGGGGCAGCTACGATGGGGAGCGGGGCTACGGGGGCTGCAGCGCTGGGTGCGGAGGAGTTAAGTCCCGCGTGGCGGGGGGAGCAGCGTGCTTCCAGCCCAGGGCCCCCCGGCCGAGCCGCCCTCGGGTAGGAAAAAGGTGTTTCCTGTACATCTGCTGACACAAAGCTCCTGGGGAGATGGCGAGGTGGGACGGCGGCCAGCAGCGGTTCAAAGGCCAGCCTGGGGCACGCTGTGTCCCCGGGAGGGACGTGGGGACCCCTCTCCCCAGCCTCTGCCAGGGGTCAGCAGTGCCGTGGGGCAGATCGCAGGGCTTGGGGCGGGGGGAGGCAGCAGACGCCTCGTGTGGGTTGGGGGGATGTTGGCTAAAACAGCTTTGGGGGTGATGGAGGATGGCACCGGGGGAGCGGGATGACCGCGGGCAAGGTGTTCGGGTGGGTGCCGAGCCCCGCGTGGCCGTGCCGAGCCTCTGACCACCCGTTTCTGCTACCAAAGTGGCAGGGAGGGGCCAAA